AATAATAATAATAATAATAATAATAATAATAATAATAATAAACACAGAGACATGAGGCTGAACCATCACTTTCCAACATTTGACCTCTTGCCAACGGGCGATAAACAGGAGTGTTGGTATGAATCACACAATAAACAGGACCAGTTTTTACCCACTGGAGTTCAGTGAGGAAAAACTGCCTGAAAGTCAAAGCAGGTGTTTTTGAGACAGAAAGCAGCTGCTGTCACAGCAGTGAGCAGACTGTGGCTGAAAGCTTCACTCCACAGAGAGCCGAGCAGCAGCATCACTCTAACCTCTGTGATTTACTGTCGTTTTAACCTTTCAGGTATGCAGTTCTGCGCCAGCATCTGAAAATCTGGGCTCTGTCAAACGGCGGATCCTCCCTAATAAAACCACTTTTTCGAGAGAGGCCAAATTCCTTTAGTTCTTCGAGAACAATGCCATTGTCCTCCGTTAGCCTGGCGCTGTTCATTTCCTCTCTTATCACATCTGACTGGACTCAGAGTGCTTCTCTAGAGTGGAGGTGAAGGATTTTTCAACATCTCTTTTCCCATCGAGACAGACGAGACTGAAATTATTACATCTACAATGCATGAAACTCAAAAATCTAATTCAGGATGACAGAAACTGAGCAGAATGACACCGAGAACAGTGAGGCTCCTTGTGTCATACATTAGACAGGCTGGGGGTTGAACTCTGGCATCAGAACACAGCAAAACATCCACGGAGAAATAATAAACCCCACAGAGCTTGCAATGTTTTCATCTGGGTGTGACTTTATGTCTGAAAGAGAATWTGTGAACCTGTTCAGTCATGAGAAAAAGTAAGTTTTAATCTTTTATATTGGTTCCTGACTTTTACCAGGTCATAAAATAATTTAAATCTTGGCCTGATCATGTCACGGTTTATTAAAGAACCTATTAAAGAACAGTCTTGCTGCTTCTATAAGATTTAATAGTAAAAGAAGCAGCCAGGTGCTGCTGATCAAATGTATTGATTAACTGATTGTAATCATTGTGAACACCTCTAAAAAAGCAAAAGTTTTGTTGTTTTGCTTCTTTGCTGGGTTAAATCTAATTTCAAAACAGTTTGGAGTCTATTATTCTACAGTGAGAAAGATTATTCATAAGTCTGGACATAAATCTCAGTGGGGTTGAGTGGGTCAGTTTTTTAAAAATGAACATTGTCCACACCAATAAATCATTTGAAGAAACTATACCTTTAAGCATTTTAAAGAAAATAAAGCATATCCATCATTTAATTTCATGTGTAAAGGTAGTTCGAACCCAAAAATGTAGAACCAAAACTCAGAGCTCAAAAGGTAATAGAAAAAAAAAACAAATTTACTTACAAAAAAAGTAAAAACTGATGAAGTGAAAGTACTGACTTCAAAGTATCTCACACAAAATACAGAAAGGAGAACAAAAACATGAACAGCTTACAAACACAACGCACAGACGCCGGACAAACAGAGACATGAATTACCAAAAATGTGAAACACCAGGGGAAAAGAAAATGAGACTCAGGTGAGAGTGGGCRGGGCAAGAGCAGGAACTGAACAACTAACCACAACAAGACTAAAGACAAAACAAGAAAGAAAGAGAGATCTAAATGGAAGTACTGTATATAACACAAGGAAAAACACAGGAATCCTAGGAGACAGAAATACTTAGAGCTAACCAAAAAGGAGACTAGGCCAGAATCTAACACAAAAAACCAAAACACAAGAACTATGATATGTATATAGACAAAATAATGCATTTGTGCCTCTTGAAAACGACCTGTGTGAGACTGATCAGCTAAAAAAAATAAAATACAAGTTAAATAGTTGCTTCTAAAGACCGTTCTACAAGCTGTTGGTTTGATTGGATTTAGTTTTTAACACAGCTCAGCTTCATTTCTGTTTGTAAAATAATGACACGGTAGAATCTGTTGTGTGGTTCCGTACACCAGACGTTAGACTGATTTAATTTCAGAACTAAATAAAGACCAGATCATATTTATTAAGCACAACCCTAAAAATGAAAGAGGGTGTTCTGTCTTTTTATGGTAGATGTAAGTCTTTAATGTTCTTAGTAAATTAAGACTGTTTTCTGGTTATGGAAGACGACATGAAGCGCAGCAGACTGTGAGCAGATGTTGGACACCAGATGTGTTGGTGGTAAAAAACCGAAGGTCCAAATGATGTGATTTGGTAAATAATCCTGTCTGGGCTCCAGTTTGAACAAGAACAGACACAGATGGTGTGGAGGAGAAAACATTTCTCTTGTTTAACAGAGTAAACAGAAACCAAAAGACGTCATGAAGCGGTGCAGAATCAAAATGTGATACTTGTTGTGTGCTGTTGTCAAGGCTGAGCTTTGGCTCAGAGGAGTCATGTACAAAAAAAGAATCCTTTAAATAACAGAGGCCATGTTTAGTGTTAAACTCCTCACCAGGCCCTGAGGACTGTCTGCATTTAGCCAGAGTTTGGTGTAGTGGATTAGAACTTGTCAGGGGTTTCGTTTATGGAAAATAAAAATTACTTCACTGTTTTGCRTCCTCGAGTCTAAATAGAATCATAATTGTAATATTATGGTTCAAGAATCATCATCCAAGATTATGTGACTGAACATCTATAAAGGCAGGATGTGTTTCTTCATGACTGACTGCTGAGCTTAATTTCCATTCAGTGTTTTCTCTAAGGGAAGAATCTACGTGATACACATACGCACACACACACACGCACACACACACACACACACACACACACACAC